GAAACAGCAATTTGACAAGCTACAAAGGAAGAAAGTGGGCAGATCAGACTACTAAAAAAAAAAAAATTCACCTAAAACTACAATTAAATAATAAACAACAATCTTGGAAAAATATTCACATTTAATAGTTAATGTCTACAATATATAAAGACTCCTAATCATTAAGAGGAGCCCTGGTTGCATAGTGGTTAAGAACTCAGGCTGCTAACCAAAAAGATCAGCAATTCAAATCCACCAGCCGCTCCTTGGAAACTCTATGGGGCAGTTAGTTCTACTCTGTCCTACAGGGTCGCTGGACTCCTCACAACAGTAACAACAATCATTAAGAAATAGACAAGTAAAAGACAAGCAGAGACACATTAGGAAGAAATACATTTGATGAATTATAATCAAAGAAATAACCATGATACAATGTTTAGAAAATATCCCAATTCTAAGAATGTACACTAAATTATATAGTCAAGAATGTTCATTGCATTGTTATTTGCAACTGTCTCCCACCCAAGAATTGCATAAAAAATGAAGCCAAATTTGGTAAGACAATAACAAGAATATATATACACAAAAAGTAAGCACTGGTAAAACTAACGGAATAAATAAACCAAAGTGGTTATTTTTAAAGAGTAAGATTACTGGTGTTATTTTTCTTTTATAACTATCTACCAAAACTTTCATTGTGAATACACACTACTTTCTAAAGTAGAAAAATATAAAAAAAAGAACCACATTAATGATTGCCTTCACAAACACATGTGGTTATCAGAATTCAAGAGTTTCAATAAATATAAAAGTTTGCAATGGTCTGTAAACTAAACTATCTTTTCATGCTGAAAGTGCCTTAAAGTTTTTAGCTCTATCTTAATTTGGTAGTATTTTAATTTAATTGCATGAAAATACAGTTAAAAGAAGCTAGTCATTACTGTCTTAAACTACATTTTCATTTTTTTTCCCAAAAGGATTTTGATTTTAATGACTATTAAAGGCATTGATTTTCACACAAATACATCTAAACATCATGCAGTGAATTATAAGAGAGGCCATACACAACAGGAATAGCTTAAAATAAAGGTATAAATCAAATATATTAGTAATATCATGTTTTCAATGAATATTTGAAACAAAATGAATTTAAGATTGATCGTTTTAGGCTAAGGTTTTATTCAGAAAACCTCATTTAGGGACTCAAAAGAGGCAAAACGACTAGTTAAGTAATAAAGGACAAAATTTCTCTAAAAATTGTTACTGACAGGAAGTGCTATCTTCTAACTGAAATCTCTTCTGTGATTTACAACTCTTTTTCTCTTAAAAAATATACGGCTATACTCCACTTGCATTTCTTTGTTGTTGTTATGTGCCGTCGAATTAATTACAACTCACAGCGACCCTAAAGAACAGAGGAGAACTGCCCCACAGGGCTTCCCAGGCTGTAATCTTTATGGGGGCAGCTCACCTTTCTTCAGACAACACAATTTTAAAACTTTTAACTAGTTATTTCCTAATACTTAATCTACTTCTTGTCTTCTTGCAGTCTTTCCACATTTTCCACATCTTTCTAATTATTTAAATCCACCTGGCAAATTATGGTTTTAGGCAATCAACTGGGAGATTAACCTTAAGCTTTCATATACTATAATTCTGTGGAAACACCACCATACTCTCTTTTTAGCATATGTCACACTGTTAATATATATTATAATAAGACACATCTCTTATGATACCCATATTATTTGTATGCATGTATATTAATTATATGTAAACCAATTCATACTTTCAGTAGCTTATTTAGCCACACTAAATGGAAATCCTATTGAATTTTATTTCTATTTGTCCAATTTGTTCCACCTACTCAGTTTGTTATCACTCAAATTTAACAAGTTCACTTTCTCACCTATTATGAACCACTCATCAAAATGTCAAACCTTCTTCTCATTAAGGCTCATCAGTTAGAAAATAAAGTCCTTATGTGGAAGCGTATCGTGGGTGAACAGAAACCAGGAAATCTGAGTTCTAGCCTTAGATTTGCCCCTAAGTAGTTCTGTGACACTGGAGAATGTCAGCTTCTCTGGGCTTCAGCGTTTTCATCTATGAAAGTGGGGCACCAGAGCACTAGAACGCTTACGGAGTCCATTCATACACTGAGATTTCACTATCAGCATCAGGGATTAGATTCCATCCAATCCCTCGTAGGGTTAAATTAGTGCCTTCTATGTGTAAAACACCGCGGGGATACACAGTGAATAAAATCCAGTCTTACTGGGATGTTTTTTCCACTATGGGACAGACTGAGGGGAAATTACCAAGAAGAAAATACCCAGACTCAGGTATTTTGTGTACAGTACTATACTGATTATGAAGAGAAGCAGCATCATCAGCACAATTCTTTCAAATGCCACAAACAAAACTAGTATTTCTTTCCTAGCCATGCTATTATCAAAATTTTCCCTTACATGAGACTTCCTTTTTAAATTTTGTTCTCTGTAAAGTCACTTCCTTTTAACTCCACTGCTGTCTACTGAACTGCAAATTAATCACTCAAAATGAGAGCTCCGACTCCTTCCCACACACAAGGTGATGCTGCTGGTTTAGTTTGCTTAGGAAAAACCTTTAACTTTTCTTAGCAAAAAAAAAAGTATAAGGATTTATGGAAACCTCATAAAAAGATTTTATTGAAAAATGTAGAAAAATATAACCATGTCTTGCCCAAGGCAGGAAACTTTTAGGAACATAAACACCACTTCAATGGGCAGGGTCACACTTCAGCAAACACAGGGTGCTGTCTCTAAAGTGCTACGGAAAGACATCGCTTCAGAAGTACATGGTTATCCTTGGTTCCCTTATTTTTTCCCATACAAAAATTTATACATATATTGTTATGTGACCCTAATTGCTCTCCCTATACTGTAACAGCACAGTCCTCCTTTCCACCCCTGATTCCCCATGTCCATTCAACCAGCTCCTAACCCTCTCTGCCTTCCCATCTCACCTCCGGACAGAAGCTGCTCGTTTAGTCTCTTGTATCTACTTGAGCTAAGAGGCACACTCCTCACGAGTATCACTTTATGTCCCACAGTCCAGTCCAATCCCTGTCTGAAGAGTTGGCCTCGGAAATTGTTTCTGTTCTGGGCTGACAGAGAATCCAGGGGCCATGCTTTCTGGGGTATCTCCAGTCTCAGTCAGACCATTAAGTCTGGTCTTCTTACTAGAATTTGAGTTCTGCACCCCACCTTTCTCCTGCTTGAGTTCCCTTATTAATCCATTATGGAAGTATTATACATTAATTTACCCAATTTGCCTTTTGGGAAACTAGTAAGACATCTTTGGATGATTAGTTCCTCAACATTTCCTACTTCAGACAACTTTTAGAATTTTAGAGCTCAAAGAAACCTGTAGATCTTCAATCGCCTCATTTTATATAGATGAAGCAACTGACGTAAGTGGTTAACAGACCTGTCCAGGTCACACAAATTTAATGACAGAATCCTTTCTCTTGATCCTCCATCCAGGGCTTCTTCAACATATCACATAGGTCTGCCTGATATTTATAACCTTTACTGAATTCAGATTTGTTTCTTTGAAGTTCCAGAGGGTTATCTCTATGTTAATTAACTTGAATTTACTGAATAATTCATATTTACTATAAATGAATATATATATACATGCATATATTCTTGGGAAGGGCAGGGACTTTATCTGTCTTATTCACTATATCCTCAGAACTTACCACAGGGTCTGGTACAGTGGACTGTTGCAGACTGAGAAAATGAACTTTATAGACTTGGATCATATGTACTCTCAGTTTTAATCTTTCTAAAGAGAAAAAAAACTAAAGCTCTTTAGTTTAACTTTGTTCCCTTGATGATTTCAGACATTTTTCTCTGGACTTTCTCTAGCTCCAAACATTTCTAACATTAGGTAGTCAGAATTTAAAATGAGGGCAGGAAGTTTCTTTTTAGATACCAATAACCTCCTGAACGGGGGCACTGGTGGTTCAGTGGTAGAAGTCTCGCCTTCCATGCGGGAGACCCAAGTTCGGTTCTAGGCCAATGCTCCTCATATGCAGCCAACACCCCACTGTCAGTGGAGGCTCGCGTGTTGCTATGATGCTTAACAGGTTTCAGCGGAGTTTCCAAAATAAGACGGACAAGGAAGAAAGACCTGGCCATCTATTTCTGAAATACAGCCAATGAAAACCCTATGAATCAATAGTCCGATCCGCAACTGCTCGTGGTGATGGCACAGGACCAGGCAGCATTTTGTTCTGCTGTGCACGGGGTCACCAAGAGGTGGGGCAGACTTGACGGCAGTCAACAACAACCTTCCCGATAAACGTCGCTCCTCTGCATTATCTTACACGGGGTAACAGCAGCACTCACTGGACACTCTTCTTACCAATTGCATAATTACTTCTAAAAGTCTAAATAAATAACACACTTTAGTTTTTCTTTATGCACTGACTTACTGTCTTCTACTGTCTCTAGCCCTAGACACACCGTTTTTCTCATCCTTAAGAACTCTAAAGGAATCCTTTCATTCAGCTGTTCTGCCCTTTTATTACAAGTTACCATTGAACTGACTCCGACTCATGGTGACCACGTGTGTATTAGAGTAGAACTGTGCTCCACAGGTGGCACAAATGATTAAGCACTTGCCTACTAGCTGAAAGGTTGGCAGTTCAAACCCACCCAGAGGCGCCTCGGGAGACAGGCATGGTGATCTGCTTCCAAAAGGTCACGGCCTTGAAAACCCTATGGAGCAGTTCTACTCTGCACACATGGGGCTGCCTGAGTCGGAATCGACTCGATGACAATTAACAACAGTAGCAGCCCTTTATTACAGACGCCACAACAGGAGCCTGAGCTTGAAGGAGCCTGAAACTTCTAAGTGAAAATCCCATACATCAGCTGGATATTCACCAATGATAAAGCAAATCACTGAAGCCAAGTACAGTAACTCAGTTCTTTAACACATCAGCAGGCCTGCTGTGTGCACGTAATACTCACTTGTACTCATCATAGACTTCCTGCTTGGGGAGGGAAGTCTCAGGATGTTCCTCCAAGGTATTCCGAATCCAGGAAAAGGCATGCATTTGCTGTGCCCGACTAGATGACACGGCATTCTGATCACTAACCATAAAAAAAAACATGTTTTAGCTGAACGCGACAGTGGTTCATTGATAATTTTTTTGAGCTAGGCCTAAATGCTCCACTAAATAATTGTGTGCAAACCTGTTATAAATGACCAAACCAAACTCAGGACACTTAGTTAATGTCTGCTTGTCTGTATACAAATTGTCCACTGTGGTGGTGGGACATATTGCACAGCTAGCTTCCAGCTGAAGTCACTGCCCTGTTCCCTCCCTCTGGAGGCCTCAAAAGTGACACAGGTGATGGAGAACCGACGATACAAGGCGTTTGTTTCCGCCACAATTACCTCCAAGAGGATATTTTCTTACTTACCTGCCTGCTAATTTGCCTGAACTTAACAAATTATCAAACTTTTAGGGTAAAAATTATGGAAAAAATTGGTTATTTTCTATTTAATCAGTACTCTCAAAGAATATATATAGAAAGTAACTATCCTGGAATCTTACTAGAGCACTTGATGCTCCAGAAGGGAATTCACGTAGACAGATCTTGACGAGACAAACCTCCCCTACAGTCCTACCTGCCACGGGGTGCCCTGCCCTGGCCATCACCTCCACCCAGTCAATCATCAGTACAGCAATAAAAAGTAGCTTTGGTGGGGCTTCTACAAAGTCAGTAGGCAAGCCTTCTACTGACAAATTAACAGTTAACAAGGATATACAATTTATATTACATGGCAGAATAATTTATAAACTAATCCCATGAAAATGACACCCAGGATGGCAGGAGAGAAGCCGCTCTGTTGGTTCTGACATCCAACACAGCTAACTGTGAGAAGAGTTTATTTAGATCGAAGGAAATACTGAGAAAGTTTCTGGGATGCAAAATGATTTAAATAGTTATGAAATCTGGTCTGAGGTAGAAAAGGTCAAAGTAATAGGCTTTTTATTCCATTTCCTTTTACTCACGAACAATTTTAAAGTAACAGAATGTCAGGGATAACTTATATGAATTGAGTAATATTTAAAAGGGTAAGGAAACTCTTTTAAGAACAGAATGCATCAGTGAACAACTTCTCTCCATATTTTCTAGATGAGACTTTCAAATATTTTTAATAATGAAAATACTGTAATACCCCAAACAGTTAAAATATCTTAAATTCATATGTATCAACGTTCTATACAGGAAATCTCACTTTTTTTTTGTTTTAAAACTCCTACACTTTAATCTTCATAATACTTGTCTGCTTATTCTTTGGTTTTCTGTTCAATTTTCACAATCCCATAAACTGTGTGACTACATCCATCCGTCTGTAAAATATAGCCCAAGCTGCATTTCCCAGCATTCACCCAGGTGCGCAAACGAATTGGCAAAAACTGTAGGTAAACCCTTAACCAAGTAAGAGCGAAGACTAAAAACATCTACTGTTTTACCGTTCTGTTTTCCGATGGCTCCAGGAATACCTACCGTAAAACAACAGCCACCACAAGACACACACCAGCACGCACATCCTTAGGGGTGTCCTGTAAACACGGTGATCGGGGCAAAGACAAAAACAGACGTAATGTACCTTTTCTCTCCATTGCTGACACCAGAAGGCAGCTGAAGGTAGAGGTAGAGTTTCTCTAGGTCTGTAAACTTCTCAACTTCTTGCTGGTTACAAAAGGTTAAAAAGAAAGATGGTTTTTTTAAAACTTGTTTTTCCCCCAACAAAATTTACTAACACCTCCCTAAAAAATATCGTCTAAATTTAAACTAGATTAAACAACTCACTCTGCCAAAGAAAACAAAACCTAGGCTTTTTTCTCATCACGAATACAATTAAATTGCTTGATAAATTCACTGCATACGAAAAATTAGTTAATAAGAGAAAACAGTACTTTGCTATTAATTCTTATATTTTCAGTATAAATACAATCATAGATTAACATAGACAAAAGTCTCTTATTTGATAAGGGAAGGTTATATTGCATTTCAGGAAAAAGTACTGGCCTGGAAGTCAAGAGAAACAGTTATTAGTCAGTCTTCCCTTAACCACTAACTGGCTATGAGGCTTCAGTGCTCGGGCAAATTTTCCTCACAACTGTAAAATGGATAAGATGACTTCTAGGCGCCTTTTCTGGTTCTCAAATATTAGAACATGTGACTGATGATGCTATTGTCTCCTGTGGATGGAATTAAGATGAGGAATACTGAAGTACAACTATCATCCCTTTCTGCTGTAATTATTCTTTGACTTGCAACAGTGGCTGCTAGAACCTACTTCTAAGATTCTCTATTACTATTGTTTCTGCAACTGTGTCATTTCGTTTTTAAATGCATTCTTTAAAATAATTTCTGCATTTCTCTGTAGCTTTCTTTCCCAGCTGAGTTTCCTATATAAACAAACAGAAAAACCAAACCCATTGCCATCAAATTGATTTCGACTCATAGGAACCCTGTAAGACAGAGGAGAACTGCCCCGTAGGGTTTCCAAGGAGCGCCTGCTAGATTCAAACTGCTTCAAATGTGCCACAAATCCTATGACAATAAAAATATTCATAGTAAAATTTTGGTGGTCTAATTCAAGGAAAACTCCATTGCAACTGAAAATGTGGACAGATATTGACATTCCTGGTGGCAGAATTTATTCTAACATAATAAATAAAAAAACTCCCAAAAAACCAAAGCGAGTTGATTTCAACTCACAGCAGTCCTACAGAACACAGCAGCACTAACTGCCCCATAGGGTTTCCAAGGAGCTGCCGGTGGATTCGAACTGCAGACGTTTTAGTTAGCAGCCGAGCTCTTAACCACTGTGCCGCCAGTGCTCCTTACATAATAAAACACAGCTTAAGCAGAGCCAATAAAACAAAGTTTAAAATGATATGATTCAGCCTATTCTTATTCCCATCAGAATTCATCCATGAAACACGTAATCTATTGCCTCCCCAATCTACATTTTTCCATCCCACTGCGATGGGGTATTTTCTAATCAGCTCCCTCCAATACTCCCTAGTAGATTTCGCAGCTATACCCTGTGCAGCTCCAAGAGAAAAGAACAAACCCACATCCCCTTCTCAAGTGTTGCTGATCATCATCTTGTCTCCAGTTCCCAGGTGTTGCGTCTGGAGCGCGCTTCCTTGGTGTCCTCACCCTCTCCTGTACTCTTCCAGCCTCTTTATTTTCATTGCCACTCCATTAGTCCAGGCAGTTAGCTGAGCTGTCCTTCTTTCAACAATGAAGGAGAATTCATTTACTCGTTTTTAATTTTTTCATTCCACAAATGATTTAAGATGGCCATGAGTTTCTGCTGTACATCACAAAGACTGGAAATTGACAGATGAACAAGACACAGCCCTTGCTCTTTTGGAGTTCACAATGATACTTAGATCACAATGTTCAACTAGTCTCCAACCTCTCCTCACTGAATCTGCCTTAAAAAATGGTTCCTAGCATAATTCTAACCCACAAAAAAAAAGACCAGATTTACTGGCCTAAAGGAGACTGGAGAAACCCTGAGAGGATGGCCCCCAGACACCCTTTTAGCTCAGTGGTGAAGTTACCTCCGAGGTTCACTGTTCAGCCTGGGAGTGGACAGCCCCGTAAAACCAAATGAGACTAACGAGGTACAGGAGTCCAGTGACAAGGGCCAGAAAGGCAGAAGGGGACAGGGAAGCTGGTGATAGGGAACCCAAGGTTGAGTAAGGATATTGCTGATGTGTTGTGAGATTGTTAACCATTGTCATAGGGCAACATTTGTAGTAACTGTTAAATGAGAAACTATTTTGTTCTGTAAGCCTTCATCTTAAGTGAGAATAACAGCACAATTCAAAGAGCATAGTCAATGTCACTGAACTGTGCATGTAGAAATTTTTGAAATGGTGTATCTTTCACCAAAAAAAAAAGGCTGAGAAGTTACAGGGTTGATATGTTGTGGGGTTGTTAACCAATGTCATAAAACAACATGTGTACTTCTGTTTCATGAGAAACTATTTGTTCTGTTAGCCTTCACCTGAAGTACAATTAAAAAAAAAAAAAGGTTCCTAAAATACTTTTTGTCAGATATTACTAATATCACCCACTTAACCAAGAACTCAACAATGCCTATCATATTAAATCCCAAACAGGTTATATTATAATAATAAAACATAAATATCATTATGGGCAAAGTCAGAAAATTCAATAATAACATCACTTTTGATCACTAAGTGTAAAAAAAAACTCACACTGTTGGAGAACCCTGGATTCTAAATAGCTTTAAATTTTTACATACACTGGATAAAGGAGTAGAGAAGAAATCCCAAAATAGAGAAGAAATTCAGGGGATATTTGAAATTATAGTGCCAACAAGATGATTTAAAGAAGGATATCAAATTTCAAGTTTTAAAAGAGATCAAACTCATTTTTTGTTTTTTTACTTTTGCCATTTCAAACAATAAAATCTTACAAAGGTTTTGCTATGTGAGGCTCAACATACAGTAGAAGAAAATATCTGGAGAGTATAAAAATTCTTGGGAGGAAAATGACCGAACTCAGCCTGAGTTCACCACAGAGATCTCCGGTTTTGGATGTACCGTGTCATTCACTGCTAAGCACTGGCTTCCAAAACAATGCTCAGCAGTGTAGGAAAGGACCTAATCTCCTATCACTGTGGTTGAAGATCTTGTATGGAAGCTCATAAGGACCTTTTTCTCACACATTTCAATCTTTGCAAGAAGATATCAAAAAAGAAATTAATTTAAATGTCAAAGACATTTCAGGACACCACTTAGGAGAATTTTTAGTAAAAATCTCCGTTTACTCCCAAACAAGTGAGCAGACTTTGCACGTCACTGTCCCATTTTCATAAGCATACATTTATGAAGCTGGCTTTTCTGAACCTTTGCTATGAAAACAAAGCAATGACACAGACTTAATGTTGCAAATTACACTGTGCTTTCATCTTTCACATCCTGGATAAGAAAAGCTTGTAGTAAACAATCAGATACAATATTCACTTTGATATCGTGTGATAAGAGGGGAAAACAAAGGTGTAAGGCAAGATATACAAGATCAAGTTACTTCTGGAGGTTTTCAAGGTGAAGTCTGGAATTTGAATCCTACTACTCAACCGCCTTCCATTCTGAAGCTTTGGCTGACGAAGAATAGTCACAAAAGGAACTAGTATCATGGCACCATCTAACTCCTTCTGTGAGGTGCACGCAAGTCAAGTGGTGAAGAGAACACGTGACAGACATGGTGCTCATCAAATGTTCCACCCGCTCACCTCCTCTCCCAGCTTCCCTTGCGGTCAGCTTGGGGCCATGTGGCTTGCCCAGGCACTGAGCAGAAGTGATGTATTACACTTCTCGGCTGCCCAGTTAAGAATCAACGTGTCACCTGCATCCCTTTCCCCCTCTGTTGCCACCCTGAAAGCCACAGGTGTCCCTGGTGAAGCTGCCACACAGGAGGTGTCTCTGTTAATGTGGGTGCCTAAAGGACTATGTGGACGGAGCAGGGGCCTCCAATGACTGGTGCCATATATACTACGTGAAAAAAATTAATTTTTGTGGCTAGGCTATCGATGTTTAGGCTTATTTTGTTGCTGCGGCATAGCCTAACCCGTCCTGATTAATGTAGAAAGTTAAGACAGTTCCCTCTTCCCTCTAGCACATCTGAGAGAACTGAAGATCCCTTGTATATATGCAAATTGAACCGTAAGAAGTGGAAAAAAAGGGCTCCTCCCTATAACTACAGAAGTTTTCATTCACACATTTTTAGAACAGTACTTCACATTTTGAAATGTCCAATTATATTAACCAAAAGTATAAGATATTTATGTTTATCAGATGGGGCATGGGCTAAACAGCACTAAGCAGCACCAGTTTAGAACACACAGCCTTCACGCTTCCCTCCACTTAACTTTTACTCAGTTTTTAAAAACGCAACTCTACTACATCTTCTGCACATGATCCTAGATGGCTGTCTGCTCCTCTACTTTGGGCCACAACATTTAGTCATTACAGTGTTCAATTTCTACTCAACTACTTAAGATCCTGGTTTACCCAACTCAGCCCCCCTTTGAGGCAGAATCCTGACAGATAACGCCCATTTAATATTTTACATTTAAAATGATAAAGTGTTTCAAAGAAAAGTAAAGAGGTACCCATGTATCACTATCCACATTTAAAAGATGCTAACCTTTTGCCATATTTGTTTCATCTCTTCAACTTTATCTTTTCTAAGATCTATTCATGTTAAAACCTGTATCATTCATTCATTCACTCACTTTTAACAGCTTCCATAACAGTACTGTATGGACTAAAACCAGTTTATTAATTTTTCTACTGACAATTACTTATTGTAGTTTCACTATTTCAAACAGTTGATGCAATGAAGACTCTTACTTGTGATGACTACTGTCAAATTATACCCCAAAACTGTTACACCAATTTATATTCTCAACAGCACCGTTACAATTTCTCCACATCTTTGCTAAAACTTAAGTTTTAAATTTTAGCCAATCTTATGGGTGTAAAAAAGTATCTCATTGTTTTATTTCACCCTTTTTTGATTGATGGTGAGACTGGGCATCTTTTCGTATTATTAATCATTTGTGTTTAATATACTGGTTCTCAAATTTTAACAAACAACAGAATCACTGAGAGGGCTTGTTAAAACAAAGAATGTAG